CAGCCACTTAACTGGGGGCTTATATGGCCTGTATTATGGGTATCTATTCTTCACAGACATTTTCCATCCGCTTTAAAAGACAGGGAAGAACACACTCTAAGGTAAATCAAAAGGAAATATTTCATTTGCTCCTAACGTCTATTACTTAAAATTAAGCTATACTTTTATTTCATCGGCAAGTCCCACAAGAACAAAGTCACCCATAAACAAGCTTAAATAGACTTCATTTCAAGGGTCATTTGTTTCTTTCTCCTCTGTTTGTGAGGACGATTGTAATAGCACAGTCTTTTTTTCCAAAGCCACTGCGTTGTATGAGTGTTAATAAGCATATTTTCACATGACCTAAGTTATAAAGTAACCCTTTGAATCTTGCATGAATGTTCAAAAGCATCACAATAGAAATTGTTGGCAGCCTTGTGGCTGCTGTTTTAACTTCATAAACTAGGACATCAAAAGGAAAACATGTCTTGTCAACCAGGGCTTGCATTGCTTTTTTGCTGATATCATCAACGCAATTAAACAACATCTATGCTGAGGCAGTGATTGTGATGCCTTTTTTGTAGACATTCTTTGTTTAGATTTTGCAAGGCCAGTTTATTACCATTGTTAATTGGAGCTAAGTAACCAACTTGTTTGTGAAAAATTAAAATAGCATTTATAACTAAAGGCCTTAGTTGTTTAAGTTTCACCTTCCGTATAGTAAGTGCTGGATTAGGTCCACCTGAAATTAAATTGACACAATCAGCACCTTCAGATTTCTAGTGCTAAAAATGCACCTGTGTAAACAATTCAACTGACTTGAATTACTATTATATAAAAAAATTATAATTATATATTAGTACTGTAGTATGACAGCAAGATTCAACTGACTTGAATTACTATTATATTTAAAATTTATAGTTATATATTAGTATTGAGGTATGACAGCAATATGTCACTCTAAAAGTACAGGGCTTCTTTAATTTATGGTTTGATATTATATTATATACTCATGAAGACGAAATGGCCTTGTCAGGAAATTATTTAGGGACGTCTTTATGGATGTAATCCCTGACGCTGACAATGTGAATTTTCATTAGTTCAGTCTGCATAATAGGTGCACAATATTTCAATTATAAACTTAAAGTTATAAACTTTTTATTGTAATCGTAAGAAATCATAACTGATAAAATATTGTAAAAATATCCTTTGTACTGATTTTATTGTGAAAGAAAAAAGGTATGAAACAAGATCCAACATTTAAGTTCAAATTCTATATGTTACACACCCCCTTTTGCGTAAAAAGGGGTACTTGATCACTTCTGTAGATGTAGGCAGGTAGATACGTCGATTTCATGTGAAATAACTATCATCCATCTATTTTCTAAGCACTTTATGAGGTTCACGGGAGAGCTGGTGTCTTCTGAAATGGGCGCAAGGCAGGGCACAGCCTGGATGGGGCACCAGTCCATCGTAGGGCAGACACAGACACTCAGTGTAAATTTACTCCAGGGTACATTTTCCAGAAGCCAATTAAACTCCCAGCGTGCCTTTAACCTGCAGGAGGAAGACAGTGTGCCCAGAGGAAGCCCACTTGTACATGGGAAGAACATACAAACTCCACACAGATAGCACTCCAGAAACTAAACCCAGGGCTCCAGTGCAATGCTAACCACTGTGCCACCGTGCTGTCACAATTAACTAGGGTGGAGCGATGCCTCTCTGGTTGAGGACCTGCACCTGTGGCTGGAAGGTTGCTGGCTCAAATCCCACGCCTGGCAGAGGAATCCTACTCTGTTGGGCCCATGAGCAAGGCCCTTAACCCCAGATACTCCAGAGGCACTGTATAAATGGCTGACCCTGAGCTCTGAGCCCAAGGTTCTCTCTCCCTGCCTGTGTGCCTGTGTGTTTCATGGAGAGCAAGCTGAGGTATGTGAAAAGACAAATTCCTAATGCAAGAAATTGTATATGGCTAATAAAGTGATCTGATCTTAACTACCACTGCTTTTGTCTTGGTGTAGCTGTTGGGACCTTAAAGTTAAAAAAAAATGTCCAGCTGTCAGTTCCTGAGTAATTTGAAAGTGCTTGTTCGTACTTAAGTAAAAGAGTTGATACAGTGTGCTTATGTTTTTTACTTTCTTTGGTTTATTACCTTGTTTCTCAGACTAAATAGGGACACAGTCCATCACAACAGATATATAGTGGTCCACACCTGAAAAGACCTTTTCTGCTGTATACAATCACATGTATGACACAATATTGTGTGAAGTTTTTGCCAACCTCCAGATCCTTACAGCATATTACAGACAGAGGACAGCTGTGTCCCTCTAGAATATATTCTCTTAATATATTAAGGCTCTGCCTTAAACCTCCAGCTACTTCCAGTGACAGGCAATGCTGGCTTGATGACGAAACAATAGCATCAAGAGAATGCTTCTTTCAGATCTTTGCATGAAATTAAGCGTTTTTAATTTTCTCAGCTCTCCTTGGGGTTTTTACTCCAGATGGCTCTGGCAAGTGACACATTTTATCCAATTTTTAAAAAGCTGCTACTATTTTCCTGAAATGTAAAAGTTTAGATTATCAAAAAACTGCTCAATTGGAGTCTAGTCCAAGCCTTTTTAATGATTTTGTTAGTACTGTAATATACATAATATGCAATACAATTACAGCTAAATTCAAGAACTATTTTAATTTTGAATTACTGTGCCAATCTGCATAAATCAGTTAGAGGGTGCCCCTGTGTGTATGCATGCACTTGATTAAAATCCTTGTTTTTTATTGTAAGATAATTCACAGGATTGGTGTACTTATAGTAATATATGTGTAGATAAAGATGTCTTCAAAATTATAACAGCTGTAACACTGGAAACTACAGAATATGACAAAGTTTTTCTGCGTTAACAGATCAGGATGGAATATCAAAACATTATGCTAGAGTCTCAAGTCTCAAGACAGGATTGATAAATTTAAAGTTTAAAACTTCAAAGTTTCTAGGATGAGAGCCAAGGTGCAAAGGATTGAACTTTACTTTCACTAATGTCCTCTACAGCAAGACCAGGCACTGTATGGTGGCTGAAATTATCACTGAATCATTTTAAATGCCTGATCTATGACATCTTACAGGAGAATGTCTACTCCTAATGAACCTGATGTCAGTGAGCTTGTTAAAGTTAGAAACCTCCCTGTCAATTACAAGAAATGTCTATAAAAGCATAGAATGATACTATAATCTTGAATGTGTTCTGGCAGGTGGAGTTTTGTCTGTAATTTCAGGGCAATGTTTTTCATCACATCTGCACAATGTGATTTTTTTAGATTTTTTTTCGAGGAGGCTATCCATCCCATAGAAAACAAAAGAGTTTAATTCTTGGGAGAAAAATATCCTATGCCAATAAATGAGCTGTTTCTGTGAAATAAAGAGACCTATTTGAAAGTTTAATAAATCACAAATATTGTACTGAGTTTGATTTTAATAGCTCAAATCTAGAATGACAATTAGCTCAGTACTGCAACCCTTGCGCCAATAAGGAGACATGGTGAGGTCTATGCACACGTTCCTCCACAATGTGTACCACTGAGCCAGCTGTCATTTTTCATGCTGCTCCAGTTGCAGTCTGCAGCAACTCGTGTCAAATGGCAGAGTGACAATGAGATGTAGTCAGCAAGAGCTGCAAGATCTCAGCTATCAGCAAGGCCTGCAGCTTGTACACTCCCCTCTTGGCCAACTGTGCGATGCCACATAGGGAAACCACACCCAGCTGTCTCATAAACCAGTAGTGAATGTTCGTCAACAGGTCACAATCCGTGGTCCAAACCACACATCTGTACTGTGTAAGCCAAACAGCTCATCTTACTTCATCCTCATTTTTCCTTTGTTGCCTCTTTGACAAAGGATAGTGATACAAGCAGAGCAGGATTTTGGTGTTCGTATGCCCCAGGCACTTTTGCTCTGAAATGTGCAAAAGGAGGGGTACAGTAAATGCCAATTGAATTACGTTGATTGACATGATGCACTTTAAACTTTTCTAATGCTAAACCTCATGATTGAGCGAGTTGAGCAAGTCGAGCGACCATCCCTTCTATACTTCTAGTTTCTAGAACAGCAGCTAGATAGCATATGATTATTAATTTGGAGCACCTATAGTCGGTCGCAAGCATGTTGTTTCAGCTTGTTTTTCGCTAGTCACTAGGGTCTTCCTCCTTTGTAGGCCCTAGGCACTGTGCCTAATGGGTAATCTGGCACTGGATACACGTGTTTTCAAACCAGACATTTTTGGCATGTCATAAGTGAGTGATAAACATCTAAAAACATTATTGTTTTGTAATTAAAGTGGTAAATTAGGCATTATAGTTAGGGGCACTGGGTTCATGTAAATGAGTTTATCTGACGTTTAAACACAAACGGTACTCCAAAGGGGTCACAATTGGCAAACAAACCCATTTCCACTATGTGCTGACTGGCACATACTACAGCACCTTCCACTCATTTAGGAATAGTTAGGGGGGCAGTTAGTACCCACTGACATAGAGATGCAGAACTGCTTTGCAATTTAGTCCTAAATTAACTCAAAGCTGAAGACTACCCTAAGGAATGGATTGCACAGTGTACAATATGTCACAAAGAGCTAATCAACACCCTACGCAGACGATAGAATCCGGAAGGGAGTGAAACCAACATGGGGGAGAGAGGACTAGGAACGGGGCTGGTAGATGAACTGGGGGGGCGCGTCGACGGTGCACTGGTGCTCGGGGGACGTGGTTCAGGCGAAAGTCCAAGGGGAGTCCGAAGAGTAATCCAGAGTGAGCTGGGTGATCCATCCATGAAAGACACGACAAAAGTTAAAAACCGGAGCGGGATCCGGTGAAGGGACAGGGAAATAGAAAGGGGTAATGGGTCCAGGCGCTCCAGGCCCCGGACCCAGATGGTCAGGACACCGCTGCGAAGCCTATGCTTTTGGGCCACTCCTGGACCTGCTGGTAGGCGGGCTTCCGGGAGTCCATCTTCCAAAGCTGAGCCCAGACTGGTAGGAGCGTCTGGCTTTTAAAGGGAGGAGCTGGAATAGGAGGCAGGTGCAAAAAATCAACAGAAACAAAAAAGAGCCGAAGAGCCCTTAAGAGGAGGGACTTACGATCGTGACACAGTAATCATAGATGGGAAAGCAATCTTCTTTATTTTAACAACATTGTGGAAAATGTTAACTATTTATTTGTAAGAGTAAGGACATGTCATAGGTTTTAAATAAATACTGGCATTTAAAAAAAAATTTGAATCAGCATTGCATCAACTCAATTTAGATTAGCCAAGGGCTTTTCCCATGGATAGGCTTGTAGCTCCTATCCACACAACTGCACACAGGGAAGACTAAGGAAGTGTAGGTAGATACATCCGAGCCATTCGGTTAATGCTTACTGATCAGTGCAAACTGGAGGAGGGGCACATCCATCTGTGCACCCACTTGGGGTATCCTGGTTCAGTCTCCTTCCGACATGACCCGGTCTCAGAGCTCAGTGGCCTTTTCAAAGGCAGAACGAGGGATCCAATACCTAAATATCTTAAGAGACAATACATGTTGTTCTGTTAAATTCTATTAAAAAAAGAAAGCAGTTGTTTAGTATACCCAGAATACCCCAATTATTTAGGATTGTCACTGCAGTCTGGGCAACACCCCACACTCCACTAGTAATCTTAATTGTGCACAATTCCCCAGAGAAGCACTGTCTCCAAGATGACTGAGCTTCACCCCAGCAATATCTGAGCCACAAAAGTCAATCTGCATTCTAAACGGGTCTTTACTGGTTGAGCCGCCAGTGTCATTTAGACCCATACAAGAGATTTATTGGAAAACTTTAATGTAAACTGTTTATCTTCGAATGAAAACGGAGACACTAGGGAAAGATCAGAACAGAAACAGCTTAAAAAAGAACCGGAGTTCCTGGCACTTTATGGAGCAGTTAAGACTAACGTGTCTCTCCGAGACCGGACAGTTTACTGCATGTATAGAAATCGGAGGGTTTTACAAATATTGACGTATTTTCCAGGATTAAGTAAAAATCCAATAAAGTTTTTCCTCTAAACAAACGCCCGGGAATTCCCATTTTGCAACCAGAACTAGTATTACACACATCCCTCGCTGTTGCCATTAGGACCAAAAATGTCAGCTCGTAAATGGAAACGCGTAAGTGACAATTACCATTAAAATAAAATGGGGGTTCAAGTCTTCGATTCATTTCTAGTGCTCCTATCAGAAAACGAACCGACGTGTCTTGGTATTTTCCTGCTGTTTGTATTTTCGAACCATAAACTGCCAAGTACATTACAACGGGAATAATTTACCAACACTTTTTATGCAAGCTGTTATGTTTAATATTAGGAAGCAATTATGTGGAAGGAAGATTTGCATGACCTATATAGCACAAATGAACAATACGATATGAACAAAATAACTGTTAGTTATACCTTGTACAAAGAATAAAACTCTTAATTTTATTATTAAGACATCAAGCTGTCTGGTGATAGACACCGTGCACGCATAGGGGGAATAATCAAAACAAATAATTTAGTTCTATAGCATGTTAGAGTTTGTGAACCGATATTATTTACAAATTATACATTAGAAATATTATCCTACACCATATATGGTATAAGGCATTACAATTTCTGTTAAGAGCAGCCAAGAATAAACATGCTATTCTAAGAATAAGACGTTTAACTCGCACAACAAAAACGGGTCTGTGTACCACTTGTTTTAGCGAGTACTCTAAAGTAAAATAGTTTAACAAGGAATGAGTGCATATATTTCTTGGGATCTTTGCACCGTATGCCTCCCGTCTCCAAGTTTTGGGGTACACCGATCTCGTTCCCATCTGTTGGGCATTTATTTGTCAAGCCAAAACGCGTGATAACCCCTTTCATATTTCTCCTTCTCTCCCAAAAGAAATAATCTTTGCAACCAAAATCTCCGATAATTGCGCACCTTTCGGATCGACGTCGTTTCTGTCAGAGGTTGGGAGACAGGGAGAACTCGATTAAAGAAGGGCCAGACTCAAACTATGAAACCAGACTACGTTAAATCTAATGACTCTTGAAGGATACTGATGTATCGCTTGACTGTTTTTAATAATAATAATAATAATAATAATAATAATAATAATAATAATAATAATCATCATCATCAGAGAGGAATGCAATAGACATCTGATACTAATTGAATCGTTTATTTATTTTATAGGCACGTACATGTATTTTATTAAAACGAATTGCAGGTGCTAGGAGTTTATCGCCCACTAGTGGCTGTATATACATGTCCTGACTATTTTCCACACATCGCTCTTTGAGAGACTTAGGTTAAACATCAAAATTCTTCGTTTTAAAAATAGTAATAAATTATGGGAATAATGAGCTGCGCCGTAAATAATTTATTACAATAGTTTTGCGTTTGTTTTAAAATAAAACAATGGTGCCATGGGATTTTTAATGACCAAGTAGTCAGAAACACTTTAACAACAGTTAGGATTCACGTCTTACAGCTCCCTACTGTTGCCATTTTGTTGAAACTCTCAATAGAGGGATGAGAGAAACCTGCTTGTCCACCAGCACCATTGAAATCCGCAACCTATTTATTCTTAGTTCAGGTGGGTAGTTGCGCCAGCATGCGTAGGCTGCAAAGGAACAAGTAATAGGTTTATTCTATGCTGAAAAGAGAAGTAAGAAAACACGTTTCGGCTGTGGAGCCGAAATTTTCAGATTTGAAAAGCCCATAAAGTGGAATGAATCAGGCCATAAAGTGGAATGAATACATCAGACCCTACATGATTAACTAGTCCAAGACAGAAGATGTAGATGGGCATCATCGTGTTTAGTTGGATTCTGGTCGATTGACTTGATTAAAGTCATCCTGTTGCAAAGTAGATGCAGGTGTTTTGCCGTGTGATTTTTATTCACATTTCGTTTGGAAAAACTGGTGTGCACAAAACATACACCAGCAGTGCCTCGGATAACACACGCTACTGTTTCACAGTCGTATATCGTTTTATTTGGATTGCACAACATGTTTTTAAAGAAAATTTAACTATTTCATTATTTTGACATAAGGAAATAAAGTAAGGATGCCCAAAATCAAAACAAAGCTTAACACGCTGTTAGGCGACACAATTAGTCAGTTCCTGCTGACATTTCTAACTTTTGATTTCATTCTTACAGCAACTGAAAAGGAGGAAAACAACCAAACATGCTGTGTGTTTTGGGGGTCCCGCCTCCACACTGGGTATTGGCGGTCTTGCTTTATACATGGTAGATATGCAGCTAGCATTGGTTGTACTGTACTGCCCGTCACTATGTTACCTGATCTCGAAGTCAGACTGAAACCAATCAGCCCCAATCAGACTTACCTAGGCGTCTGGTCTGTGTTGCTGGGCTGTTGCTGTGCTCGGCTGGCTGGGACTTGATCGCTGCCAGAGCATGAATTACGCCGTACCGGAGTGCAAGTTGTGCTGCTTGCTTGCTAGCTCTCCCCGTGTTTGTGCGTGAATTTGTGGCGAATCTGTTTGTACATGTAGCCTTTTCACATTAATGAGAAGTTGGCGGGGGTGTCAGATTTGAATGCATATGGGTGCGGCGTCCCCTTTTCAGAAAAAAAGGCTTAACAGGATTTGTGTTCAAGCTTGGGGTTGAAAAAAGGAGAAATACTCGTCTTCTGGAGCTGCGCTGAGCGGTGGACATTTTTTCGCCTTTTGTATACTTGCGCTTTGTGGACATTTTGATTTTTTCTTTCTGATTGTCAGGCTTGAACTACTAAAGTTTTTTCAATTAAGGATGTAAGTAATTTTATTTTTTTGTGCTACCCTGCTAACAGGAAGTTACTTCCCCGAAGCAAAAAAAAACCTAAAGTACACGAAAGACAACTTTTGGCGAGAACACTGCACTTGGAGAAGAAGCACAGTCAATGTGATCAGTGTTTTGAGAGCTTTAATGTCATATGAGTGGATGGATGCAGTAGAGGTTTTTAAGCTATCTCGCCTAAGACGATTTGCACCAAAGTAAACAAAACAGTGGATTTAAAACACTTTCGGAGCTGCAATTTCAATGAAAGAAGGTGTCTGGAAACCTGACGTTTAAGGTAACATATGTGTACCGCTGAGTTTGTTTTAATCAAAAACACTTAGAAGATGGGGGGAAAAAACAACAAAGTTTGATCTAGATATCATTTGACCTCGGAAAACTCGGAAAGGGTTAAGGATCATTTTAACCCTGTTTCCGCCCACCCCAGTAATGTCGTTGGCTGGTGTGTGAAATGGTGGTGGTAAACTTGAGCTGGAATCCGCAGCCACTGGAGGTTTTAAAGGGGGCAGACTGGAACAGAGGAGCTATTGTTTAACTCCAGAGACTCTGGACTGAATCTGATGTGACCGCTGTCTGGATGCTTTCCACGGGGGATTTTTAATCATCAGTGTATTTACTGTAAACCCCCTTTGTTTAATACTACTAGTATTACTAGCGCATCCCAAATGTAGTATCAGATGCGTCTCTATAATAAACACGTGAAAGTGAGGTAGATCTTTGGATTTTATTAATTTCTACTAGTATTTTCGTGTTTTTGGAGTCTGTGTAATTAGAAGGGTAATTCTGTATGGTTTTATTTGTCTCGGTTTGCTCGCCTCTATTGGTAGAACGAAACAAAGCCACAGCCACAGGAGCTGTCAGATATATTAATGGGTATATATATAATTTGCATAATACAGTACTGCTGTAATTTTACTCTGTTAAATTACGATTTACGCCGTAAGAGTACGTTTTGAGTAACCCCTTCCTTTCTGGTCTTAATGTTTTGTTGGAGAAATATGCGGAAATTTACAGAGCACCAATGCCATTTAAGTTGGCATCACTTCCTGTGTAGAATAATTTTGCCAGGTAAACCTTGTGTTTTGTTCAGATACGTCTGTCTGATGAGAGCTGAAAGGATTACTTTCGATATTTTCACGTTTTAATAAGATTAGGCTAGGGATTTGGTGTTAACTGTGCGACCTCCTGTATTTGATCTTATGGGATGCAAAGGAGGAAATCTACTGTACGACTCGAGGGGCATAAAAACATCCCATCCGTTGTCTTACTTAAAACGGTAAATAAGAAGGAACTGAAATCGATCAATATGCTTTTGATTGTCGAACTAAATTTAACATAGATAAAAACATTTTATATTGATTGGTTTATAAACCTGATGTTGTTGTTTTTTTTGCTAATCTGATCCTCTGTGGTTTTAGTTTCGTACATTTTTTTAAAATTTCGATTTACCAGCTTTGCGAAATTGTATTGAAAACCTCAGTAAAACTATCTTCCCCCTGTTAATCATGCTGGAACAGGATTTAGTGCGTCAAGACAGGTAGCAACAATAAAAAAAAATACGATGAGCAACCTAGGATGGTGAACCAGTTAGCCATTGGTTATATGGCCAATTTGTTTTGCTTTGGAGCATATTTAAATTTAAAAAAATGATGTAGATGGTTTAAACTAGTGCTAGTTCATTGAATGCAAAAAAGCCGAGTCGTTAAAGATTTACAAAGCCCTGCGGACGCTGTTTTTATTAGAGGACAGTGATTACACTATAGACGTGGATCAAAATGGAAGCTCTTTAACATCTTATTGATGTTTTTTCGCCATTTGGATAAGATCTAGTTATTTTCCTTGGTATGTGCACAGGTATAACCGGCTTCCCTTGAATTTGGTGTAACCTTGCAGCGGAGACGGAAAGAATCTGCTAAACTCGTTGACACAGGTGTTGGTGTGAGTAGTTGGTCTGCCTTTCCTCTTTTCACCGTCACAGGTGGAATATAGGGAACATTAGGCCACGAAATGGTTTCATTATTTTTCTCAGTGTAGATTAGTAATTATAATAGTAATTAGTAATAAAAGAGAAAATAAAAAAAAACAGTTCTTAATGCATTTATATGTAACGTGACGGTTATTTTTCCAGTATGCTTAAGTCTTCTTAAACTCTTTTTGCAAAGTAAAAAAAAAAGGTCAAATTAATGTTTTGTTTGAGAAGGAGACTCGGTCACTGGGATGAGTCTTAAATGAAGACTTGTTCTTGTGGGCACTGCAGTGGTGTAGTGGTTAGAGTTCTATGTCAAAGCTCTTTGGATTAGGGTTGAATTCTGGCCTGGGGCTCTTTCTGTGTGGAGTGTGCATTTTCTTCCCATGTCATTACATGCTGATTAATTTGCATAGTTAAGTAAAGTGTGTGTGTGTGCGCTCTGTGATGGACTGGTGTTGGTGGTGGGGGACTACACACACTCAGTGTCTGCTGCTCCCAGCTGTCAGTCCTGGTCTAGGAATTACCTCCTTCGTTTGCTGTTTTTTTTTTTAACTGGACTCTTGGGTACCCCTAGTGATTTGTGAGATTTGTAATCGGTATAAACCCTGTGCAAGCCAGCAGCCATATCACCCTGTGAAGCCAAGCAGGGTTGAGCCTGGTCAGTACTTGGATGGGAGACCTCCTGGGAAGCTGTGGTTGCTGCTGGAAGTGGTGTTAGTGAGACCAGCGGCCTTTCAACAGCCTCAAAATTGTCCACATGTATGATTGACTTGCACTTGCCCTGCGATGGACTGGCACCCCGTCTAGGTTGTACCCTGCCTTGTGCTCGTTGTTTTCCAGGTAGGCTCCGGCTTCCCGCGACACTGTAAGGTATAAAGAGGTTTGGTAAATGACATTACATAAACCCTGTGCTAATTGGTGCGTCTCAGGGCAGCGCTCAGGTGTGCAAGACGAAATCTAACCAGTCACGCTCAAGCAGAAAGAAGGAGTGGAGTCTCCCTGAGGCAGTTGTCCGATACAGCTTCATCCTTAATCCTCTGTCATCAATTGATAGCCAGTTAAGTGCCATTTAGTCAGAAATACGAGAGAAAATTCATAATTCACATGTTGAGGAGAAACCACGTAAAAGTCTGTGTGCTAGTGTTGGTGGAAATAATGTACTTTACAGTGTTTTTGAAACCAGCCTCTAAATTCTGGAACTAGAGGGCAGGTCTGTCATAATCGGGGTCTGTAACTGGTGATTAAAGGTCCAGTTGGAACAAACGACAGCAAACCCTGAGGTGTTGGGGGACAGAAACCCACTGATCTAAGGGCTCCTGAAAAACGATGGGTGGATGGTAGGAGAGCTGCTGGTTAAGGAAAAAGAGCTTATTCTCTGGACGGTTCCTGGTTCAGGCCTCATCTCTGCTCCTGCACTGTTGTGCTGTGTGATCCCTTTTAAGCAAATTGCTGCTCTGTCCCTTTGTCCCATGGGGTGGGATGAAAGGTCCTTTTGTAAGTGATTCTGCAGAAGGTGTTTCTAGTAAGGTGAAAGCATGTTCACTTCTAATTAAGCAATTTATTAATCCAGTTAATTCATTTTCAGGCCTTACTAAGCTATGTTAGATAATTGTCACAAAAATTGCCTTTTTTAAAAAATGCTCAAATCAGCAGCATTTTTTTTTGTATTCTGATTTTGTTTCCGATCTTAAAATTCCATTGCAGTTGTATGCTTTTGAATTGCAGCAATGGTGAGTGGTCCGCAAGTGTATTCATTTCACAAGGCTTGTCGGTAGAGTTTTGTTGCTTATGATTATAAAAAGAATGTATTGTGGACCATACGAAAATGTGTACTGAACAATAGTGATTGTTATATTAGGTGCAAGTGACGCAGAGTACAGTTAAACTTTCAGTGTGATGTGAATTGTGAAATATTTTCCTGCAAAATTAGGAACAGTACATGCTTGCACTAGTAAAGTTTGAATTGTGCCAGCAAGTTTTTTCCCAGTTACAATGTGGATCAGTAGCTTTTAATAATTTTGTGGGTAAAAATTGAAAAGAGAATCCTTTCATTAGAACAAGCTCATTTTGTCCATAATCATTATTGGTGGTCTTATTTTACAGCTTTAAGTATTCAGTCGATCCATCCATTCTCTTACTGCTTCATCCAATTCAGTTCAGTTTATTGTCATACGCACAGGTGCAATGAAATGCTTATTTGCATGTATGCTCCAATACAAAGACGTTAAAGGAATCACCAAAAACATAAACACAAAGCAGCAGCAACAACAACAACAAGTTAAATAATATACAACTTAAAAAAAAAGTCAGGCAAGCAGTGTGAGGGAAAAAAACATCAGTGTGAGCCAGTGGTAGGGGTAGAGTTCAGTAATCTGACAGCTTGTGGGAAGAAACAATGGTGGAGCTGTAGCCTAAGTAAGCAGTGGGTGCAAGGCAGGGTACACCTTGGATGGGACATCAGTCCACTGCAGGGCCCACACACGCAGATACACACACTCACAGCAGGGCCAATTCTCCCAGAAGGTCTTTGGCCTGTGGAAGGAAACAGGAAAACCCAGAGAAAATCCACATGAACAGAGGGAGAACATACAAACTCAACGCAGGCAGCACCCCAGAATATCCCACAGCCCCAGCGCTTTGAGGCAGCACCGCTAACCATTGGGACATTGGGCTGTCCAGCTTTTGGTATTCATGGGAGTTTATGAGTTTAGCACTGTGCCGATCTACGGAGAGGCAGGATTTAGGTTGCATTGTTTCAAACTTGAGGGTTGTAGAATTCTTGGATTTTATACATTACCGTCTATGTTGCCCTCAGCTTTTGAATATTCTTAAAATGGTCTCGGTTAATTTTAGGTCATTTGCGATCCTCTTTAGCCCTGCTGAATAATTGAAAATTGCTCTGTACTTTACGTCTCTATAAATAGTTTTCTTAGCTTACATTTTCACATGAGCGTTCATTTCATGTCAAAATTCCCATGTGAAGCTAAATGCTGAAGTTTGGCTGATTGTTGCTCATAAAGTCCTCGCTTGGAACTGTCAAAGGAATTTGAGCGCACTTGATGAGTTGTTACAGTTCAGCCGCATTCAGCTGTTTTTAAGGATTCTTATAAAGTGTGTAACTGACTGAATTATGTGATGGACATTATTGGGTTTCATGGTGCTGTGGTGTATAGCACTGCCGTCCCACGGCGACAGGCATCCTGTGTGTGATTCTGGCCTTGGTTGCTCATCTGTATAAAGTTGGCGTCTTCTCCCCTACTGTATATTCTCACAGGTTGTCTGTAGGTCCTGCCTTTTCCTTTCCAAGG